AGGTCACATAAATGTGCTACCCGAGTTTAAGAAGGTAAATTATTAATAGCGCACCTAAAGTGACTAGCGCGTGATTATCTTTGGGGAGGGCCGTGAAATTCGCTAGACGGCCTGTCCCGAATTCTAAGTTCAGTTTCTATGTGGAAAATTTAAGAAAATGTAAAATTTTGCCTTAAAACTTATTTGAGTTGACTACGTTCAACATTTTGAGTAAACAGATCCTGATTTATGTTTTGATGGCCCCCAATGGGTCCGTATCATGATTTGGAACTTGGGCATATGCCCGGAAATAGAATTCGAAAGAATTGACGTAATTTGTTGAAAACTAGTAATTTGAAGATTTAAAGAATTTCTAAATTTTACCGTAGGTTGAATTTGTTTCTACTAGGTTTGGATTTCAGTTCCGAAACTTTGAATAGGTTTATTTCACTATTTATGACTTGCCAGCAAAATTTGGTCCAATTCGGAAGTGATTTGACATGATTCGGACACTTAAACGTGATTCTATTGTTCTTGAGTTTCACTTTGAAAGTTCATTCGTTTTGAGGATTGATTCATAGATTTAGATGTTATTTTTGGTGATTTGATTGCGCAAGAAATTTCGTATGATGTTATTACACTTGTATGCATGTTTGGTTTGGTGAGCTTCGTATAGGCTACGGATTGATTTTGGACTTAGGAGAATAGTTGATGCCTTCATTGTTGCTAGTGCTCTGCTGCAGGTCTCGCATTTACGAGATCTGGCTCGCATTTGCAAGCCTCGCATTTGTGACATATGTGTGTCTGAGACAAGTTTCGCAATTGTGACCCCCTTATCGCAAATGCAATGTTCGCAATTGTGACATCTGCAGCTGGGTAAAAGAGGGGAAAACGGAACTTAGCTCATTTCTCACATTTTGTCAACCCTAAACACCCTAGAGGCGACTTTCCAAGAGATTTTCTTCCTAAATTCATTGATAAGTGACTTTAATCTGGGTTTTTTTTCAATTATCCATTACGTTTCATGAGATTTCAATATCAAATTTAGGATTTTCATTGTAGAAATTAGGGATTTCGGTAGAATTAGGGATTTTTGTAAAATTGAGATTTAGACCTCGAATTGAGGTCGGATTTTGAAACAAATACATAACCAGGCTCGGGGGTGAATGGATAATCGAGTTTTGGTCTGAATTTCGATTTTGACCAAGCGGGCCCAGGGTTGACTTTTGTTGACTTTTTAAAAAATGATCTAAATAAAACCTGTTTCATTTGTAGGTAGTTTCTAAAGCTTATTTTGAATTGTTTGGTCAATAAATTGTTAGATTTGGTTGGTTTTGAGACTTGTTCAAAAGGCAAGGCCATGGTTGAGTGATTGCTTGAGTTGCGAAGTGAGGTAAGTGGTGGGTCTAACCTTGACTTGCGGGAATTAGGGACCCTTGAACTACATGTTATGTGAATTATGTGTGACACGGCGTATATGCAAGGTGGCGAGTGTATATGCACCGTTGTATTACTTGTGTCCATGTTTTCGTTACTTCTTAGTATATCTTGCTACATGCCTTAATTGATATGTGCTTATTTGACTTTCATGCCATAATTGTTACTTGCCATTTAGTTATCCATGTATTAAATTGTCCATCGCTTCCATGATTTCATGCTTAATTGTTAAATTGTCTCTACTTGCCTTACTTGCATATTTAATAGTCTTATGCATTACTTGTCTTATTGTTACTCTTGTATGAATTGTTAATTGGAAGGTACCGTTGAGTTGTTGAAGTTGAGACATACGAAACGTTAGAGATTCTTCGAGTACTATGTGATGTTTCATTTGCCTAGTACATTTACACTCTTGATGTAGAAATTCTTGTAAATTTTGGTTGTTGAATTGCTATTGTTGATTTAAATTATTTGGGGAGCGGGCTGCACGCCGCGACCGAAATTGAAAGGTAATGAGTTGAAATGGCAGAATAAGGACGGATTATGATATTGACAGATGATGATATGGTGGGATCGGTTTGTGTGCCGCAACGGATTGTTTAAAGTTGATATTGTAGAATCGGGTTACACGCTGTAATAGATTGATTAATATTATATTTGTTTGTGACTATTGGACTGGCCTCGGTAATCTAGAAGAGCTTATATGACTGGTTATTCAGGACTCTCTGTTAGATGGATTTGAGTTCGTTGTTGTGAATTAACTGCTTTACTTCCATTAATGTCTTTCCTATTATTGCATATAGGTTAATGTAAGTGACCCGCCTTAGCCTCGTCACTACTTCGTCGAGGTTAGGCTCGATACTTACCGAGTACATGAGGTCAGTTGTACTCATACTATACTCTGCACTTCTTGTGTAGATACCAGAGTTCATCCCAGCGGCGCTCGATAGACTTGCTCGGATGCAGCTATCCAAATGAGACTTTAGGTATAGCCGCACGGCTTACGCAGCCCTAAAGTCCCCTTCTACTCCCTCTAGATGTTTATTTTGATTCAGACGGATGTATTTATTTTAGACCATTATCTGTAGTATCTTAGACGCTCATGTATTTGTGACACCAGTTACAGGGTTTGTATTCGAATTTCGTCACTTATTAGCTTATTTCCTTATTGCAAACTATTCAGTTTCATTCCTTGTCATTTAATTTGGTAAATTATTAAAAATGGTTAATAGATATAGCTAACGTTGTCTTGCCTAACAAGTGAAATTTTAAGCCCTATCACGGTTCCGAGGGTGGGAATTCCGTATCGTAACAATACTATACAATACATTATGAGACGATACATAACAACCATCCCAAAAAACTGTTAAACATAGTTTGCTTAAAACCGGCTCATCCAAACGGTCAATTATTATGAAATAAACCCAAATTTTACACAATTGACCTAGAAATTAAACAAATTACAGAGTGCCATGATTCTTGTCATCATCCAAAGACAAGGATACGAACTCGCCGAGAAACTTGCCGTCGATCTCCAAGGGCAATTTTTCGCCGTTCAAATCCTTGTAATATTTATACAGAACCACGTTCACTACAAATAACATATTCGTCAACATAGCTCCTAGCACCCAACACTGAAAAGTCAGCGATATTATCACGGCGAAGCTCCCCCACAGCTGATCAGCCGTCACTGCACCAAAATGGATTAAATAGACGTTAGTGCCAATCACCACTCCTCCCAGCGCAAGCCCGTGCAACACGTGTATCCATAGAGCTAGCGATCTCATCCCCTTTACCAAATAGGCACTTCTCCTCAGTGTTTCGTAACCCCGTTTGGATTCAACCAATGCTATCACATAAGCTAACGACCAGTTAACCTGCAGCCGTACCAGAATTGGCACGAGTAAAATAACCGACGCGAAAATAACCAAAAACGAGAAGTGTTTCGAGTCAATTTGAGTCCAAGAGTTTGAAGAACTTGGACTAAGAAAACCAAGACAAGGGCAAAAATGAGAGTGATTGAAATGAAAATGGTATTTGAAACGATAAAGGTGGAGAGAAGGGGGAAGAAGGATTTTTTGATAGATCTAATAGACGAAACGACGTTGATGGGTCTACCATTGGATGCTTGAACGGCACTGTATGTAATTGTGGCTACAGCACAGAGGTAAAGCAGGACCAAAACCAGAGTGTATACAAGGAAAGTAATAATTTCGAAATTGGAAAAGAAAAGATGGGATTGAATACTCCGAGTGAAAATGGCGAAATCATAATCGGGATGAAAGAGGGCAAGGTAGAAAGAAGGATATACGATGAGAGAGAAAAAGATAGGCAAGAGGAAAAGAATTTCAAGGACTATGAAATGGCCAGAATTAGCTATGATTATGGGATAGCTTGAGTCTGTGATCTCTTTGCATAGGCTATCAAATTCTGTAGAAGCGGACGACATAATTACAAGAAGAAGATAATGCTGTGAAATGGAAAATGAAAGGAACAATCAAATGTTTATTCGAGGTATTAATTACTTCTTTATTAAGCCTTTTCTTTGACTATTAGCATAAGAAACAATCAAATGTTTATTCATTTAACCATATCCTTATATTAACATTTGGTCACACTTGAAAGGTGCATATATAGTGGCCAAATGGTTATCTGACCCTTTATAAATGGTTTTTTTGTATTGAGAAAAGTTACAATTGTATTATTTTGGGTTTATGACTTTTTTAGGAACTACATGCTAATAAGGATGGTTTAGTCAGCATTTGTGCTATCAAATTTTGCAAAAAAAGCTAAGAATAATTTACAAACTCTTGTAGAGAGTGTGGAAAAAAAGCTACATATATAGACAAAAAAACTACGCAAATACTGTAATGTCATGATCCGGATTTTCCACCCTCGGCAGGCGTGATGGCGCCTACACGTAGTAGCTAGGCAAGCCATTTTGATT